ACAAACAAGGCCCTGCATCATTATTAAAAACAACAAAAAACTAAGTTTCCTCATTCCATAGCAAAAATCAAATAACTTAACAGATGTATAGCTATGTTCTAAATCAAAGACTATTACACATGTTCCTCTTAACATTTTGTAAGAAAAAAAACCATCGGACACAAAATTTCACAACTTTTGAACAAAGGAAAAGCTCATGAATTCATCAAAAACAAAGAGAAGCAAGGGCAAAGATCATGTCCTTTTACCTATTTAAAGCAGTCTCTGATAGAGAAAACAAAGGGTGTTCAAGAGAAAAGAATAGGGAATTGAACAAGTTCGTTCTGAGAGGAAATAGAAACAAGTTGAGGGGGATTTTAAGTATGGGGAAGGCTGCTATAAGGAGGAAGAAGGGAAGAAAGTGCGACTTTTCTTCCCTTTGCTTTCTGTTGTGGTGGTCAAAAGTCAAAACTTCAGAGGGAAGACTTTTGAATTTGGCTTCAAAGGATAATGAAATGGAAATGAAATGCAAATTGCAAGAAAGTTTTAATTTTTACGAAGTTCCAAACTGGCTGGCCAGCACGTGTGTGTATAAGGTTGGCTTTTAGGTTCCCCCCAAGTGGGGAGTGGGGACTGATGGAAAGATTAATTGATACCAAGCTGTAACTGAGTCAGTGACTCAGTTAGTGGGGGCTTTGCCTTGAACGCGTTTCCTCTGTAGGTGGGGTCTCGGTCACAGTCTTACACACGCGCTCGGACAAGATATGGTTGCCTCCCACTGACTCACATTCCACTTACTTCTCTTTTTGCTTCGACACATTTACCTTTTTTATAAAAAAAAAAGACGAGGGGAATTTGTCTATTACTACTTGTACCATAAGTAATATATGGTTTTTTTTAGTTTAATTATTAATATTTAATTTATTAATAATTAATTCATATTAGATATTGTAAACTTTTTTATATAACTCTCCTTTCAATTTAACTTATTTCATTTATAATGTCAAGATTAATAAATTAAACTAAATTATTATTAAAAAAATTTGTTTAATTAAATTATGTTTCCATTTTATGCATTATATATTTAATTTTATAATTAGTTTAGACTATATAATTTGATTATTTTTGTATTACTTAATCATAATTAAATTTTAAATTTTAATATTTTGATTTAAGATTGTTAGATTAATTAAGTTGATTGAAAATCATTCTGTCACGTGTAAATCAACCTCTATGTTTTGTCTGACTAGTGCATAATAGGAGTTGATTAAATCTTCATGAAAGTTCAACATTTATAGGGTTTTTTTTTTGTTTGGACCGTCACATTTATGCATTATTATATGGTCTAAGTTGTTTATTTATTTATTTCTCAAATGGGCAAACCTAACATGCTGACTCTTTGCCCAAAGGCTTTGACTTGTCAAAGAAATATTCTTTTTCATGTGATCCTACTGTCTTGGATCATGTTACTGTTGAGATTCCAAAGCATGAGCTTGCAGTGTTTTAAATTATGATGATAAATAATACGGAAAATATTGGTATAGGTTATGAGTTTAAGTTAAACATGCAATAATCTTTAATTTAAAATTTTTAGTGTTGGTTTGTGAGTAAAAATTTACAAATGGTCCTTATTATGTTAGAATAATTTTACAGTCATTAATTATTTTTGAATATTCTAAGATGACAGTAAATAGTATATATTTAAAAAAATTAAGCAATTAATATTTTAACGGGTATCATACTAAAATAGAGGTATCAATATCTAATATAATAATAAATAAGAAGTATGGATTTCATATGATGAAGTGTCGATACTATACACCATACACAAGACGTCCCAAACAGTGCCTTTGTCATTTGGTTTGGGCCTAATCCAAACCTGGCCTTGTTATGTTCCAAAGAAACCTGCTAAAAGAAAAATCAATCTATCAGTTTCGGCATTGTTGTCAAGAGCGTTTATCGAGCGAGTCGATCGTGAATTGAGTAGTGATTGCTTCATGCTCATCAAAAAGTTTTGTTGTTTGCCTCAACTCGTTGCTTGTTAGGTTCGTTAGAATTTTGTTCAATCCGTGCTCATTAAGAAAACCGGTTGTTCGACTCATTGCTCGTTAAGCTTGTTAATATTTTGTTCGACTCGTTCTCGTTAAGAAAATTTGTTTCTTGACTCGTTACATGTTAAGCTCATTAAGCTCGTTTCTCGTTAACCTCACCAAATTTTTTATTTTATTCTTTAACTATAAGTAAAATCTACTAATATTATATAGAACTTCATATAAATATAAATTAATAAATTTAATCCAAAATTTATCAAAAGAGTGTATGAAATAAATTTAAAGTCTAAACACTAAAATAACAATCCATAAATATATTAAAAATAATAATTAGAGTTTGATATTTGGGTGTATTAAAATAATAATTACTAATTAATAATTTAGTATTTTTAATTATTCATTAGAAAATTAATAGATTAGTAATTTATTATTTTTTATTATCTATTAATAAATTAATATTTTTTAATGAAATAGTTTTATAAGATAACTAATAAAAAGTTATAAAAAATTAACAAGTTCTTACGAGCTTAAGTCAAATTGGACTTTGCTCGGATCAACTTGTTAAGGTTTTGAGATGAGCTCGAATTCGAATCGAGTCAAGCTCAAATTTAGGTCGAGTCAACTCGATTCGATCTTTTTTCATATTTTAGCCGAGTCAAGTTCGAGCTGCTTAACTCATTAAGCACCCATATTGCTGTCAACCAAACTGACAAATCGTGCACGAATCAACTTACTTCAGTGACTAAAGGAAACATTGTTGTTCTTAGAGGTTACGGGTTATAACACCAATGATTCAACAATGATTGATAATAAATTTTTATTATCAAATAATTGAGAGTATTTAACCTTAGCTTAATTAAAACTTTTGAAACTTACCTCAGCACTTACAATTTGGTCACCTAACTTTTGAAACTTACAATACAATCATGAACTTTTAGTTCGTTTTCAGTAAAATCCATGCCGTTATCCTCTTTATGTCTATTGACGTGACACTTAACTCTCGTTAAATCCTTTTTCTTCCTCCGACTCAAACCAAGCAAAATTCATAAATGAGACTTCTTCTTCTTCCTCCAAGCCAAACCAACCAAAACCCAAAAATGAGAACAAAAAGAAGGAAAAAAAACTCAAAACCCAGAATTTTTTATCCAAAAAAACACCCCAGAAAGTAGACTCCCTTATATTTGTAGTTGAATATTCCTTATTATTCCACTCACATCTCAACCTTCTTCAATAGAACAATGTCACCGGTTCACTCCACTTCATATTTCTATGCCTATAAACGAATCGAACGTTCAGCGAATAATTTGTGAATTGTTTGGTGGGAATTCGTTTATGTTCGTTTATTTATTAAACGATCGAACATAAACAAGATTTTGTGTTCGTTTAATTAAATGAACTAACACGAACAAATGACTCGTTCGCTTATTTACGTTCATGAACGTTAGATAATATGTTCGTTCGTTTATGTTCGTTTACTTTCGTTCATTTAAGTTTAGCCCAATCTCTCTAAACCCATTTAAAATATTAAGACCCAATAAATTTTAATATGATACCCATTAATATTTTAAAATTCAATAAATTTTAAATACAAATAAAAAACCCAAAACAATTAAATACAAATTAATTATGAAGTTGCAACTTATACTAATGAATTTTATGTGATTATTGTTATTGTGGTTTATGTTCATTTATGTTAGTTTACGTTCATTTATGTTTATTTATTGTGTTTGTTTATGTTCGCTCATTGTGTTCGTTCGTTTTTGTTCGTTTACGTTCGTTTAAATCCGTTTGTTTATGTTTGTTTATCATTTAAATGAACGAACATGAACATGTTATATTCCTTAATGAACGAATACGAATAAGAAATTTTTTATACGTTTATGTTCGTGTTCGTTCATTTGTTCGGTTAAAATTAAACGAACCAATGTTCGGTTCTTTTATATGCCTACATATTTCTAAATGGACAATTCGGTCGCCATACTGTCTTTGCGCCAGCCTCTTGCGCATGTTCAAGCTCTTCCCCATGCTAACCTCTGGCTGCAAAATGGTCGCGCTATTGGACCGACCACAGCAGCCGTTGCTGAAAGACAGTGCACCACAGGTACCATTTTCGGGTATCTCAAAGGCAGGGTCTGCTTAGCGATACAAGACGATCCCCACAGCGTACCAGCGTTCATCATCGAACTACCTATGCTCACAAGCTTGCTTCAAAAGGAAATGTCATCCCACATAGTGAGGATCGCGTTGGAAAGAGAGATCAAGACGCATAAGAAGAAGGTACTGGAGGAGTTCGTGTGGGCGGTGTTCTGCAATGGGAGGAAGATGGGGTATTCTATCAGGAGGAAACAACTGTCTGATGATGAGCTCCAGTTATGCAGCTGCTCCGAGGTGTTTTGATGGGCGCCGGTGTGCTTTCTAGCCCCAACGACAAGGAAACACGGGGAATCGACGTATATGAGATCTAGATTCGAGAGGGTGGTCAGATCCAAGGATTCAGAAGCTTTTTATATGATAATCCCGATGGTGTTGTGCCTGGTCCGGAACTCAGTATTTTCTTCGTAAGATCTCGTTAGAAAAATTTATAAACAAATACCATAGAAGACTATTCTCTTTTAATGTTTTGACATTTCTGAGAATAAGATGAACACTTTGTCTGAAACTAGACAATGAACATGGAGACGTTCAATAATGGCAGAAAGTGTTTCTGGTTTAGTGTATTTTAACAACAAACTTGGGTTTTGGATTGAGATTATTATCTACTTGAATACAAACCAATTACGAGATTTTATCCTCAAAAGTCAAATCTTTTGTCTTTGAAGATCACCGGTTTCTCCAAAATAAGCGCTTTTCGGAAACAAAATAAAAGAAATTACATTTTGAAATTATTAGAAAAAACAATGGCTTGTTCTAGTCCTCGCAGTTCACACTATCGAAGAGATCTTCAGAGACCAAAACGCTGGACGCTCTGCCATCGTTCGTGCTCTTACTTACGGTAAATTCCCGTATTTTTCTAAACCCTATTTTTCATTCTTTCGATTTGTTATTTTGTTTAATTTTTATTTTCCTTTTAAATTTGTATGATTTGCCCTTGTTTTATATTAGATGTAGACGACTTCTACTCTCATTGCGATCCAGGTCAGTTTTTTTTTCTTAGAAAGTTGACGAGAAAATTGAGATGGACGTTCTGTTTGTTTCCGATACGCTTAATTTGAACTAAGCTGAGTAGTCTGTAGGTGATTGAGTCGAACCGGTTCGATTTCGAAGCTATGTTTATGTTTTCCTTAGAATTTTTCCCTGAACCGTTTCAGGGTTTCTACTTGTAGTCTGTTGGATTTTCAATGTTTATCTTCGCCTTGTTTTTAAGGTGAATCGCAAAGGATTTGTATTTTAGCAATAGGAACATTTATTCTTATGCAATATTGAATGTAGTTGATCACCAAGTCCAAGCTGTGCTTTTTATAGGCTTCAAATTAAATTCATGATATTGGTTGCAGCCTTTTGGTTATTGTTATTGAAGTGTTTTGTTTGTTCCTCAGACAATGAGAATTTATGTTTGTATGGATACCCAAATGAGGGATGGGAGGTAGCTTTACCGGTTGAGGAAGTTCCATCAGAGCTTCCCAAGCCAGCTTTGGGTATTAATTCTGCAAGACGGGATGAATCGTAAAACTGGCTTTCACTGGTTGCCATGCATCGTGATTGCTGGTTGCTCTCTGTGGCATTCTATTTGGCACTCGCCTTAATCGCAATGAGAGGTACGTCGTTCTGGCATATGTTTTCTCTCGACTTACACTTCGTTTTGCAATTTCTCTTCTTTTGGTCCTACATTGTTCTTATGATATGTGCTTTGGGTTATTGCACTAAATAATTAGTTATGGTATATGACTTCTTTGACTTGATATATAAGATCCCCTTCAAGTTAGCAAACCAATATGTTTTTTAATACAAAACCGCCGACCCCTTACTGTTTTCCATTTTAAGTTTTCATTAACATGTTAATCTCATCTCTACTCAGTTAATTAGTGCTGGCTCTGACTTGTGTATCAGATGTGATTATGTTGCTACTTTTGATATGCCTTTTCGAATGTTATTTTATTTCACTTTTCGTTTTTGATAAAATCGCATGGGACCAAGCACACACTCCTAATTCCTATGAGATTAGCCTTCTGCACCCTCTCCATCCCTCTTCTGAATTGTTTCTTATAGCATAAGTATTCATGAGTGTCGTGGTGTTCTCTCAAACAGGAAGCGCTTATTTAGCATGAATGCATGATGAACGATCTTCCAACCGCTTTGAAGTTGCAAGTGGAAGGAAGCCTGTGAAGAGAAACTCACAGTGGAGAGTGGAAGCAAATCTCGAAACGGCACAAGTGTGAGAGAATTTATAGCCCTTGTCGTAACCGTCTCTCGATTGGGCCCGGAATTAGGCTTCAACTTGAAATAATTGGGTTGAGAGTCGCCACCGACCACTTTAAAACGAATTTAGGTGGGTCGAACACTATCTTACCTGATCTGCGTTTTTACCAGAAATGTGTCGGGTTCGGGAGTCGGTTACGGTCAAAGAAGGATTAGCACCCTTAAACCGCCCTTTCGGTACCAATTAATTTGCTGGTGTCTTAGTTGCGAAAATTCGAAATTTAAATTAAAATTTAACAGACCCGATTCAAATTACTTACAATTGATTGATTTGAAATCGTACTCTTAGAAAAGTCAACAAATGTTAAAAAAATAATAAAAACTAACAAAATAAAAAACTGATGAAATGGAGAAGATAAAATAAAACAATAAAAGAAATACAAAGAAAAGAATAATAATAAATTAACGATAACAAGTAAATTAAATAAAAATAAAGAAACGAAAAGAAAATAAATAAATAAATAAATAAATAAAAAAGACATAAAATAAAGTCCATAAAAGCAAATGAATAAATAAAATACTAGAAAATAATGGTGAAAATAATATATACATAGTAAATAAATAAATAAATAAATAAATGCAAGAGGGGAAAATATAAAATAAAATAAATAAATAAAATAAATATAAGATAAACGAAATGATAATATGTATATATAAAATAAATAAAAACATAAAAAATAGTAAATATATATATAAATTAATAAAACATATAATGAAATTAACATATATATATATATATATATATATGTAATCTAAAAATATATATATATATATACTAAAGTAAAAAAGAAAATGCATAAAATGCAAAAAAAAATATTACATGAAAAAAATAACAAAACAATTAAATAAAATGAGTAATAAGGGAAATGCGTGTATAAATAAATTTAAATAAATAATAATAATTAAAACGTAAATGTAAGGGACGAATCAAAAGTAAAAAAATGCTACTTTTATTTCCTTTTCGAATCGTTTACAATAGTTTTGCCTTTGTATTTTCCGTGCTTTCCTCTGTATTTGTATGTAAATCTGTTACAATAGTGAGTTACAATGACTATTTATAAAGCTTCTAGATCCTATTTTTAGGAGTTTGAATCATAGTAGAACTCCATCCTATTTTTTGAATCCTAGTAAAACTCTATCATTTTTTTAGGAGTTTGAATCCTAGTAAAACTAACGCTATGTTTGTTTTATGAATACCACTAAATCAGGGTTTTGAGAGTGTTATACCCGGATGAAAAAGTGTTGACAGCTGCCCCTCTTTTTCCCATAGTCGTGTAACGGGGATAGGGCAAAGATTAAAAGATACACTTTTCGTTCGGTGGAGTTGAAAATTGACTCTGATGTTTCAATAACTCCCTGTCGAATTGAGTGCAAATGACTACTCCGTCATGAAGTCGAGTTCATGATATGGAATTAAAGTCGTAGTTCGGAATTTGAATCGGCACGTAGCTTCTCGTTACCCTTCGGTCTTCTTCTTGGATCGGAATCGAACTCAGAAATCTTCGTGACAGATAGCTTTTCTTGACTTAAGCTATGTTGTTTGAAAATGGTTGTTGTCACTAAGGCATGGCTAACCCAGGTCGTCTTCTCGACTTGAAAACTTCTACTGCAACCGGAAAGTAGTGTGATTGATTTGTCATCGAGCTGAATGGAATCGAACTCGACAATTTGTTGGCAGATAGCCCTTCTTGCCTTGAGCTATGTGTAAATTTGATTTTCCTCTGAGTTGAATGTAATCGAACTCGAAGGTCTTTGATAACTGAAACCTTCTTGCTTGATTATACTACAAATGATGTGCCTTGGAGCTGAGCGTAGTTCGAAGGTCTTTGTTGACAGATAACCCTTCTAGCCTTGAGTTATGCTGCAAATGATGTACCCTCGAAGCTGAGTGTAATCGAACTCGAAGGCTTTTGTGTTTCAAGAGAAACATTTTCAAAGTTTTTTTCTTCAAGAGAAACAATTTGAGGGTTTTTTTTTTGTGTTTCAAGAGAAACTGTCTCAAAAGGGACAAAATTTGTTTCAAAAGAAACTATCTCAAGAGAGACAAAACTTAGTTATAAAAGAAACTGTCTCAAGGGAGACGAATTTTTTTCAAGGAAAAATATTCAAAGATTTTTTTTCAAAGGAAACTGTCTCAAGAGAGACAAAACTTGGAAACTCTCTCAAGAGAGACAATGGTGAGCACGATTCCTTCGTCGTGAAGTTGAAACTGTGGATGGCCATTCGTTGTGAAGTTGAGCCTTGGAATTGGATATCCTTCGTCGTGAAGTTGAAATCCAGTATGTTGTTTCAAGGCCAATATCTTTCGCTGTGAAGTTGAAATTGATTCGAAACTGGAAAGTTGTTGACATACACTCCTTCTCTGAGTTGGATATCCTCCGCCGTGAAGTTGAAATCCAATCTGGAGATGGATGCTGCTTGTGTACGATTCTCTTTGTCATGAAGTTGAAACCGTTGGTGGCCCCTTCGCCGTGAAGTTAAGCAGGAATTGGATATTATTCGTCGTGAAGTTGAAAATCCAAGTAGTTGTATTGTTCCGAGTCCAAATATCCTCCGCCGTGAAGTTGAAATTGGCTTGAAACTGGGAAATGTTTGTTGACAACCACGTCCCTTCGCTGTGAAGTTGAACTTGTGTTTTCTCGAGTCCAATATCCTTCGTTTTGAAGTTAAAATTGGCTCGAAACTGATAAGCCCTTTGTCGTGAAGTTGAGCCTCAAAATGGCACGATCCTCCGTTGTGGAGTTGAAATCGTGGATGTGTGGGTACAATATCCTCCGTGGAGTTGAAATCGCGGATGGCCCCTTCGTCGTGAAGTTGAGCCTTGAC